AAATATTATAATTTCATAATTTCATAATTTGAGAGCAAAAGGGATCATAACATCAAAATCATAACATTTTTGGGAACAAAAAACCGATCTTATTTCTGTATAACTGTAGGTAATGAATTTTTCATACTTTCAGCTAACATATAATTAGAGATAATACAACAATCATTATTTATATTTTATACAATTTGTTTTTAATTATACTTTGCTATACTTAATAAATGAATAAGTACTTAAATTTCAGGTTATAAAAAATATGTTTCKCAATGGTTTAGTGTGCTTATGCCAATAGTACAACCTCATTTATATGGAAATGGAGGAAATATAATTTTGGTTCAGGTGAGAAAAAATACTTCACGGGTATTCTATATTCAATTTTGAGATATTTAGTTCCAATTTGATTTATAACATTTTATTAGGTAGAAAATGAGTATGGAAGTTATTATGCCTGCGATTTTGAGTATAAATTGTGGTTACGTGATTTATTTAGGAGTTACGTAGAAAATAAAGCTGTGCTATTTACAATTGATGGATGTGGTCAGTCAAACTTTGACTGTGGCATTATTCCAGAAGTATATGCAACTGTAGATTTTGGAGTTTCATCAAACGGTAAGTAGGTATTTACAAAAATGCTAAGTAGGTCTTTCTGTGAGTTACAAATTCAAAAATAAAATAAAAAATACTGATAAACATGCTAGTCTTATATAAAAAAGAATTAAATTTATTTCAGATTTGCATTCCAGTTAATTTATATATTTGTTTTAGCTTCCCAATGTTTTGACTTCATGAGAAAGGTTCAAAAAGGAGGTCCACTAGTTAACTCAGAGTTTTATCCTGGTTGGTTAACTCATTGGCAAGAATCAGAATCTATAGTAGACTCCAATGATGTTGTTAAACAAATGAAAGTAATGTTGGCAATGAATGCTTCATTTAGTTTTTATATGTTTCATGGAGGTACAAATTTTGGATTCACATCAGGAGCGAATACAAATGATACCAAAGAAAGTATTGGATACTTACCGCAGTTAACCTCATATGATTATAATGCTCCATTGGATGAAGCTGGAGATCCTACTGAAAAGTATTTTAAAATTAAACGGACACTTGAAGAAGCTGTGAGTTTTTATAATAGTTAACTATCCAATATACAGTGTGGTGTTAATTAATTATTTTTAAGAAATTTGCCGTGACAAATGAGATATCACCGAATTCTGCGCCTAAAGGTGCCTATGGTAAATTCTATTTAAGACCTGTAGTTAGCATATTTGAAAAGATGGCTCAACGTATAAAACCGGTGATCAGTAATGTTCCTATACCATTTGAAGACCTAGATATTAACTCTGGTTTTGTATTGTATGAAACAACATTAACAGATGATCAGAAGAATGTTAAAAATCCAGTAAACTTAACTGTGAAGACAGTAAGAGATCGAGCCATCATTTACCTGGATCGAGTAGAGTTACATTTGAGTTATAACTTTGGAAATACGAGCGTTAAATATATTTATTTTTTTAGGTAAAAATGGGTACTATGAATCGGTTAAAAGCAAATACTACAATAAGTTTGAACATTAACCGTTCTGTTCAAAACCTAAGCATTTTAATTGAAAATCAGGGAAGGATTAACTATGGAGATTTTATTGAAGATAGAAAGGTAATATTAGCTRATGATAAAATATTTTATTTGTGGTTCGAGACTGAATTAGCTTAATATAATATATTATATTATAGTATGATGTTTTTCGTAGAAGTTAATATTTCATAAATTGTATACAGACTGGAGATTAGTGACATTGTCTTATAGAAATAAAAGTCATAATATACGCACCATCACTAAATAAAATTTTATTATATTTATTTAAACTACCAACTAAATATAATAACTTAATATATTTTATGTAAAAATAATWATGATTAAATTTTCTAGGGAATTTTTGATCAAGTGTTTCTTGGAAACAAAATATTGAGCCCGTGGAAAATGACTGCATATCCTTTGAACGATACATCATGGATTTCTTCAATAAAATCAGTTGAAAATGTCACTAGTGTTCAATTACCGGCGTTTTACAAAACACAGTTTACATTACCAGAAAATTTAATCATAATTATTTTTATAATTGCTTAATACAGAAACTGTTTTAGTATTAATAAAATACATTAAAAGAATAATTATGATTAAATTTTCTAGGGAATTTTTGATCAAGTGTTTCTTGGAAACAAAATATTGAGCCCGTGGAAAATGACTGCATATCCTTTGAACGATACATCATGGATTTCTTCAATAAAATCAGTTGAAAATGTCACTAGTGTTCAATTACCGGCGTTTTACAAAACACAGTTTACATTACCAGAAAATTACACAAAATGCTTAGATACTTATTTAGATACTTCAGGCTGGACTAAGGTGAGTTTTTACAAGTTGATTCTGTTAAATCAATTTTTATCCATATATTTGCAGTTTAATAAACATTAATATTTACAGGGTGTAGCGTTTTTAAACAATGTAAATCTTGGACGGTATTGGCCACTTGGTGGACCTCAAGTTACATTATATGTGCCAGCACCTTTTTTAAAACCATCACCTCATGTCAATACACTTGTGATGTTAGAACTTGAAGGTACATCTCAAGATTTATCTGTGAAATTTGTTGATAAACCTATTCTTGATGGTCCCATTATGACATAAATTAAAATGTTAGTTATAAAATTCTTTAAAAAAGATACAAAAATATTTAAAATATTTAATGTTTGATTTAGTTTATTTTATCATTTAATAATTATTGTTATTTTAAACAAATGTCTTGGCATTACATTCAATCATACCATCTTTTGAATCAACAATATTAGTTCACAGTTCATGATATTAACTAGGCGAAGTGCATAAATCAGAAAATAAAATATTTATAAAATATTGACATTGTACTTAGAAGTGCAATCTATGCATTTATCAATAGAAGTGAGTGGCTGATGTAGTTATGGTTTTTACACAGAAAGCTTAAAAATTAATATTTTGTGGTTTTTTACAATTTGTTGCACATTATTTATTMAAGTGGCGTTCAATTAGGCTTATCATTACAATAAATTGATAAATTTTCTTTCCTATCAAATAATAAATCAGTAATWTTATGCAGTGATATAAGTGCTTAACTAGTTAGATTTTAAAGATGCCCTGGATACATTTTTCTAATAAATTATCTCATAAAGCTTTGCCTCCAACCACTAGATATTGTCTATTTTTATTATAAAAATTATGCTTTAGTTTCATTTTAGTTTTATTATTCCTAGTTTTCAAAACTAGTTTTAAGTTTTACTAAACAAATATGAAGTCAGATGTTTTAATATAACTATTCAAATTTACTAAGTTTTAAAAAMAAGTATATATTTTATAAGTGCCTATAAAGTATACTAATTTGATATTGTAATTTTTCGGTAGTAATTGTTACTTAGAATTACTTTTTTTTTTATGAACAAGTTTATCATAGACAACTGTGTAACAACTTCCAACTGTTAGGACTCAAAACTCTAAATTGTACCGAGTTATCACATTTTTTCATCGGCTGAAGAATTTAGTGATTTTTCGCTTAAATTTTTTTTACGATAGAATTAGATCATACAATCTAGGAAGTCCACGAGATTAAGCAATATCTGCATGGGCGCCCATTGGTGRTGGGGTGGGGGGRAAAGATCTTCATTTAACATGAAATAAATTTGTAAAAATGTTGGTTCTTCATTCGTGCTTGGTAACAGTGAACCCAATCCAACTGCATGACATACCTGACTTWGAATTTTAAATGTCGGCGAAAACAAATCATACAGATACAATACATTATTATATAACATTGATTATAGTTTTTTTAAAGTTGCTTAAAATTTAAATGCTAGGCAGTAACAGGATATCTTCTTGTTTTCATAGCTCCAAACATATCAACAGCTTGATTTAAATTTATCAGTGAAGCTGTTTCCTTCTCCACAGCTAACCTAACCGGACGAACACAAGCCGGTCACGCATTTTAAATTAATCAGAAATCTGGGTTTTTATGCTGAATAATATTATATACTTATTA